TTTCACTTCTACTCACTTCTATCTCTTGAAATCAAGCTTTCTTGCCTTATTCTAGCTAAATTGCCCTCTTCTCACTACACTTAGCTTTCTAAATCTTCTTGTTATTCCTCAAATCTTTCAATGGCCTCATCTTCTCGTGCTAAGATCCCTACTAGAAGAAGATCTGCACCCTTATCTCGTTCCCGTCCTAATTCTGTAGAAGGATGGATTTCTGATACAGATGGCCAACAAGAATTTTTGACCTACTGGAAGGAACGTGCTATTATTTCTCACAAGTTTCTTATTGGTGAGCAATTCATCAATAGGGGATTCAATTTTCCCAACCTTCTTGAAATTCAAGGAGTTCTTCCCTTCATCCAAATGCAAGGTACTTATTATCCGGACTTGGTTAGGGTATTTTACTCTAGATTTAAATTTAGAGATCAAATTGCTACTTCTAGAGTAAAGGGTGTCACAATTATTCTTGACGATGATATTTGGGAAAACGTCGCTCACTTTCCAATTAGAGAAGATGTTATTAACATTTATGGTGAGTTAGATGATTTTGACAGGTTCTTAGCTTACCGTTCTTTTCTGTGAAATCCCTCCATGGAGATTGGGCGTCTCCTTCTTGCTGGACCTCTGAAGAAGGAGGAACGCATGATTTTACATCTAATTGTATGGATTCTCTGTCCCCGGGCTACAAATCATGCTCAATGTTCTTCAATTGATCTTAGGATTATTCATGCCATAATAAATAATGAGCCTTTAGATTGGGGCGTTCTTGTCACAATGACTATGTTAAAAGCCAAACGTCATCCCACATTCAAAATTCCATATGCCCTCCTTGTCTCTCGGATTCTTGAATACAAAGGAGTGAATGTTGAAGGTGAACAAGCAGTTAGAACAAATAACTTGAACCGCATGTTGGACAACACATTGATTCAACTCCAAATGGTGCGAGTCAATGATATTTATGTTCACAAAGATGACGTTCCTAATCAAGGTGATGCTAATGAAGATTCTGATGAAGATATGCCTCTAGCTGGTGAGTTTCCCTCTGAGCAAATCCAAAGTGTTGGAACTTCCTCTACTCATCATGAAACCCGACAATCCATGGAAGACATGTTATCAGACATGAATCAGAGAATGTAATCGTTCTTCACTCTTTCTGGTGTACGACATGAAGAAATAATTCGCCGTATATCTGATGTAGATGATAAAGTGTGTCATTTAGAAAATAGATTTGATGCACATTTTCATAGTGATGATAGTGAAGAATTTTAAATTTGTTGTTTATTTTCTCTTCTTGTGATGTAATGTATTGACATTTCTGAAATAAAATGTGATGTTTTGTTATTGCTTTGATTGAGGGGGAGTTATCTCCAACTTATGCATATTTTGAGGGGGAGCTCTTATGATTGTTATTGCAGAATTATTTTTGATTATAATCAAAATAGGGGGAGAAATATTTAAAGCCTCTTATGAATTGCATTTAAATATTATCTGGTATGTTTAATGTGTTTGTTAGTATGACAGATAAAACAGGTTATTACAAGGCTTTAAAAGATAATTTTGATCATCATCAAAAAGGGGGAGATTGTTGAACATTCAAGGACTTGATGTTGCACTTGATGAACATGAAGATTGTTGATTTTGATGATGATTCAAGAACACAAAGACTTAGAGTGTTGAATACTTGTTTTGTATTGTAATAACTCTGTTTCAATTAGATTGAGTCTGTAATATTAGAGTTTAAGATAGTCGGTACATAGTCTGCACCTTATTAGAAGCTTCAAAAAGCTCAAATTTATCATCCAGGCTCGGCTTTAATCGATTAAATAGGGAAATAATCGATTAAAACAGTGAGAAAAATCATTTTCTGTAAAAACTCACTAGTTTAATCGATTAAACCAAATTTTAATCGATTATCAAGTGGTTTAATCGATTAAATCACCTTTTAATCTATTAAAACAGAGAGGTTTGGGTTCTATTGATATTTGGCTTTGTTTTAATCGATTAATACTTCTTTTAATCGATTATTTCAGTCAGATTTTGATTTTTAACTTCAAATTAAACCTATTTTCGAAAACCCCATTTCTAAGAACCCTAGTTTCGAAATCCCCAATTCCTAAACCCTAATTTCTCTACTTAAACTCTTCTATGGCACTCAGAAAAGAAGAACAACCTTTTTCATACAAAAGTTAAGTGCTGTAGTGCTAGAGAACTGTTTGTTGCAAGAAAAAGGGGCTTTTGGAACCTGGTGTGGGCTAGAAGCGATAAGAATCACTAAGTGGAGTTTTTAGTGGATTGTGTGTTGTGCCGTCTCTGGGGAAAGTTGTTCTTCATCTCTTGTGGGTTTCAAGAGAGGTGTTATCTTTAACTTTATCTTTTCCATTGTAATTTGTATTGTAACAATTTGATTATATTGACAGCGTTAATCCTCTGTTTGAGTGATTAGCAACTGGACATAGGGTCTTTTGATCCGAACCAGTATAAATCTCCTGTGTAAGATTCTCTTCTCTTCTCTATTTACATTTACACAGTTTTTAATCGGTAAAATTTGGGGAAAATTTTGAAAACCTAATTTTTATTAAGAAACCAATTCACCCCCCCTCTTAGTTTTTGTCCGACCACGCGAACATTCCGCTGCGCGATTCTAACAATTACCTTCAAATTTACCAATATTAAAACTGCTGACAACCGTGTGAAATTACTTGAACCAGGATAAAGTGGAGTCTCTGCATTGCTATACATATCTTCATACACATGCAATTGAGCAAAGATTCTACTCCAACATCACGAATCATGTCCTCTAGTCGATCATCCATGGTTGAATCAACTAAATTGTGATCACATTCATTTACACATAAGAAATCTAATAATTCACTATGTCATATCCAATTTGTGTAATTTTTATAAAAACTGTCACATAAAATATGCTCCCTAATTTGCTCAAGACTTAGTAATCTTCCATTAAAACAATTAACACTTGAACACCTAAATCTTTCATCAATAGAACTAGTCCAAGTGTTCCATTGTGCAAATAATAAAAATTCTTTCACTTGTTTCTCGTACTCATCAGTTATATGGGTATAATTAATCCAAATTTTATCTATTTCTAAATTTTGCAATACATAAACAACTACGTAATTTAGTTAATAATACAATTTGTCGAGGATCGGACATCCCAGACTCAACAAAAACTCATTCTAAAATATTTTATATTACTATGAATCATCACAATACTAACCTTAAATCAATTAATACATTAATTAAGACAGAATAGTTATTTACTAGAGAGGAGCTTTCACGAATCCGCCACCAAACAATGTTCATGGACCACCACGAGAAGAGCATGATGAGAGGGAGATAGATAATAGCTAGAGGGAGACAACCATCGAGAGAGCCATAGACGAAAGGGACCGAGAGAGGTCACGATGAGGAGGAGAAGAAGGCGTGTTGTGGGGAGATAAAGGCCGCGAGAAGATGACCAGTGGCAACGAGGGAGACAATGAAAAGAATATGCAGGGAATGGAGGCAGTGAATGAGCGAGAGGGAGAAAATGAGAGTAGATGTAGGGAGGAGGAAAGAGGAGGCGCAAGGGAGGAAGGAGGCGACGACAAAAATGAGCGAGGGATAAGCGGAAATAAATTTGAAGAACCTATGACGATAATTATCTATAATAATCGTCATCAAAGAGTTGGACATCAACTACATTCCACGACGATTATTAAATAACCATCATTATATAAATATTTTATTATTTTCAAAAGTATCACCACATCTTCAAGGGTGACTCCAAAATTACCGTCATGAAAAGACATCATCGTTTCAATATCTACGTTAGTGTGATTCTATCTTATTTTCAACACTTACTTAAAAGCTTTTAAAATATATTAAGAGCATATTTATAATAATTAATCTCATTTTTAAGATCTTGTATTTTTTTTTCTATGTTCTTCAATGTTATATAGAATAGAAGATCTTATAAAATATTTGCTTAGGACTTGAGGGAACACGAGCAAGAATCATGTTTTATTGTATGCTAACTACACATTCTTCACAAAAATTTAAGAAAAAAAATGTGTTATTTGAGGAAGATTAGGCATCATATTTTGCTGATGAAGGGTCTTCATTCCACTAATTCAAGTGGCGCTGCCTAGAGCCAAAGTCATGATTTTTCTATCTTTGACCATAGAGCAAAGTTGAACACTCTCAATCTTCAACAGAAATAGTCTTCGACGGCTCTCCTGTAATGGTTATATATTTTACACAAGTACCATTGAATAGTTATTATATAACTTTTCTGAATCAATTGGGCCAACATGTAACAAATTAACCCTACTTTTAGTGATCTAGGGTGATCTATAACTTCTGTTAGACATCTGAAACTCTAGATTTTGCTTGGAAAACAAGTTTTTTAAAACATGAAAGCACCTGCACCTTTGTCTAAGTTTTATCACCATCAGACATGTCCTTAGGAGTTCTTAGCACCCACAGGGTGTACGTAGCACCTTTGTCTTGTGTTTTGTTCTGTTTTCTTCTACATAATAACTCTGTATATTGTATGTTCTTGAAACTGTTAGGTGGCATTTCACATGCCTTAGCCCAGTTTTATTTCTTTAATATAAATTCCCTGTTTGCCTACAAAAGCACGTCTAGTATTTCGTATTCATTGGCGAGGGTAATTAATCGTAGGGCCTTAATCTATATACAAATTAAGCATGCGACCTCGTATGGTGTAAGTTTTCATTAAATGATGCATGTAAATATACATTATATATATCTTGTAGTTCACGGGATAAAATTGAAGTGAAGAAGGAAAGCACTTTGGCAAATGATGAAAGGAGGAGAGAGGAGGCTAGAAAGACGACACTCCTTCTACTTCTAAATCCAAACTAAGAATGTCGTCCATTACAACTTACATTGATTCCATTCACAACCACTTTCACTTCATGCGCGACAAGCCCATGCATATGCAAGCAGTATTTTCTCTCCTCCATTAAATTTCATTCTCATCAAATATAGGATTCATCGTAGGTAAGTTCAGACGCTGCAGTGAGATGAGCCTTGCTGCCACCACCGTACCTCTTCTTCCTGTGACCCCCTCCACAAGTTATCGAAAACTCACACCCCATCGCCGTTCCAAAACACGAAAACAACCCTCCGTTCCCACCACCCGGTCTTTGGTTCTTCCCTTTTCCCTTCGGAATGTTATACGTCACCTTCTTCTCATTCTGCCCCAGGTGATCATACACCACCTTACCGTGCTCCATCGACCGCCACCGGTCAATCCTATTGCTCAGTCCCTCCGGTTCCTCCTCCTTCCCCGGCCACCCGTCTAACACCAAGTTCCCCGGCTTCCGCGGCGCCATCAGCGGCATCGGGTATAACCCCTTCGCTATCGCCGCTGCCACCACCGACGGAGAGGGTCCCACGTCCGAACACAGCGACCCGTTCAAGTTCATAATCATCCCTTTCTTCGTTGTCGGCCCCCCAAGCTCAGAACCATCGCCATCTCCATCACCGTCGTAACCCTTCGGATAACTCCTATACGCGTAGTCGTTTATGGTGGAGTCGTTCTTCTCGCTTGCCGAGCGCTGCAGCGTCAAGAGCTTGTAATTGGAATCGTTAAATTCGTCCTGCGGCGTTTGATTCGGCTGCGGTTTCTGCTTCTTGGGATCCATGTCCCAGTCCCCGACGCTGGAGGCACTGAGCTCCGAATACATCGGCATGCTCCTCCTGGTGGGATCAACGAGGTTGACTCCGATATTGAGAATCCCTTGGGGGCGACCCGAGGGGCGACGGACCTGCAAAGCGATAAAGCGAACCTTTGATTTGCGGTTGTTGGAGCGTGGCAAGAGGCTGGAGAGGAGGACACCGACGGTGCCGATGAGAACGTCGCGGAGCCATGCGGAGGCGTAGATCTCGATCATGACGACGGAGTCGTCAGCGTAGAGGAAGTCGTCGTCGATGCGGAAGACGAATTTCTCGTTCCACGTAGGATTGTTGTGGCCATCGGGGTCTATTTGGGTTGTGAGCTTGCGGTCCGGATCAAGCCATGCAACTGCGTAGGCTTTGATGGATTTGGAAACGGGTGCGAGGTCCTGCGCTGATATGATGTTGACTTCCAGGAGCTGGAATGGGGAAGCTAGCATAGACATTGTTCTTGTTTAGGGTTTGTTTATTTGATTCGAATATTGGTGGCGGAATGCGGAAGGAATTGCTGTGTTGTGGTGACGATGGATGGTGGGGGAGATATCTCCCACCACCTAAACTTCCTACGAAAACCTCCTTTTTTTCTGCTATTAACAATGCATGCCTTTGGTTGGTTATGGAATGGAAAGTATGGCACCTTCACGTAGCATTTATATGTCCTTCTTCTAACAATAGAATACTGGGAAACTAACATTAAATGAAAATTATTTTCAAAAATATATATTTTTTGAATTAATCATTTTTTAAATTTGTTATATGTTGTGTATTTTCGGTTCATGCCACCCTATTTTTGAGGTGAATGCTTTTGTATTGATTGTTGAGACTCACTTCCATCAAAATAGGATGTAGTTCACCCATTTCCCTTTTACGCCATGAATTGTCAACTTTCTTCATTAGTTATTCTTTGCTGGCACTCAAGAAGAAAATCAAAGATAAATTTAAGGATTAAATAAAGGCCTAATCTGGCTCACTGTGCTGCCCATATTTTGTTTGACATATTTTCACACTTTTTAATAATATACTCTTATTTTATTGTAGATATATACGAATAAAATAATTTGAGCACCATGTTAGTATGCAACAATTTAAACTAAACTTTCACCAACTTCATACCAAGCAAACTTCAAATTTCTAACCTGACATACGTAGGCATGCTCGATATATAGAATAACTTATAAGACAAGGTTTAAAATAAAATTAACTGAGATTTTTTTCAGTTTTCCCATTCTTTGACCTGTTTTGCTAATTGCTTGTTGCAGTGTTTCCAGGTATATTTGGTAGATGGGATTAGGAATGAAAAACCAAACCAAAATCCCAACCCCCACCACCGTAACACACCATTTCCAAAACTATCACCTATACATATGTCCCTGTACGTGGTTTTTCAAATCACTGTGTCAAAACCACCAAATGTTATAGCGAAAATCACTTCGGAAATGAACGTTTCCCATTGCACCATCCTCCTCAGTCTAACCTTCTTCCTTTTCCTACCTTCTTCCAAACCACTTTCTGATTATACCACATTAGTCTACAAAACCTGTGCAACCCAAACCTTCAACCACCCATTATCTCAAACACTCGACTCTCTATTCCAACAACTCATCGCACAATCCTTCCAACACAAGTTCTTCAGAACCACCGAAGCCGGTAGCGACGACACGGTCATCTCAGGCCTTTTCCAATGCAGAGATGATATCAGCAAAGAAGAATGCTTCAGCTGCGTGAGCTTGCTACCTCAGATGTCAAACACCTTGTGCAGTGATTCCATATCAGCACGGGTACAACTTGACGGCTGCTACTTTCGCTACGAGACCGAGGAAGCAACCGGCGAATTGAGAAGTAACGGTTTGCTTCACAAAGAGTGTGGGAACCCAGTTGTGGAGTATGGGAATTTCAAAGAGTTGATGAAGGAGGCTTTTGCGACACTGGAAAGTGGGATTCTGAACAGTAATGGGTTCTACACAGTGAATTATAAATCCGTGAAAATAATGGCGCAGTGTGAAAGAGATTCAGAAACTTGTGATTGTAGCAATTGTGTGAGCGATGCAGTGGTGGTTGCTAAGGAAGAATGTGGCAGTTCCCTTTGGGCTCAAATATATATTGACAAGTGTTTCATAAGCTATGGCATTAACACTGTCCCAGGTAACTTTCAAATTGAATCATGAACCACAGATTTTTCATTTGTAAATAGAAACCATAGATTTTTATTTAGTTCCAACTTATCTTTCTATTTTATCAACTTACAGACAGTTATTATATTGAAACCATAGATATTCTTCCAACATAATTGAAACAATTAAACACAAACACAATAACACATGATTACTGATAATTATATACAACATTTATGAATACAGGGGCAAGAAGAAATGGAAACACGGAAAAGTTAGCTGCAATAATCGTTGGAGGGATAGCTGCTGTGTTTCTGGGTTTTGCTTTGTTATCAATGGTTAGCTCTCGGTTTAGAAAAGACGATTATGAATAGAGAGAATGAGGTGGGTTTAACAAGTGTTACGAGAGCCCAATATCCTTCTATTCCAGACTTTACTGTTATATATCATAGACAAACAACGCTAACAATTTTAATTTCTTTTTAGTTTTAAATATGCACGCATGTCCTTCAATTTTTTATTTTTTTTCAAAAAATAACAATTATATTAAAAAAGCACTTATAAAAGTATGTTGTAGAAAAAAAAAGTATAAATATAAATAAATAATGAGTATAAATGTTATTTTATTAATAACGTAGATTAATTTTTTATTTAAAAATAAAAACAGAATAAATACCATTATAAAATTTTAAGATACCTGTTTCTTAGTTCGAGGTGCTCTTATATTTTATATAAATTTTTCTTTCTCAACTCATTCGTCAAATAAATTAAAATTTAAATATATAAATTAATTCTAATTATATTATCATAAAGAACAAATTAAGATATTTTTATTTTAAGCTCAAATAATATTGATTTAATAATTTTTATGTAAGCAAATGTTCAATATGCTTTTTATTTAAATTAATTTTTTTATTTTATATTCAGCTGCTGCTGGTTAGTGAAACTTGATTTTTTTATATTTAAAAAAAATAATTATGATTAGCAAGTTCATTTGTATAGTACGCAAATTTTGTAAAAGGACAACGATACGGGGTGAACCTTGCCCCGAATACCACCCACTCTTTAAATTATTGAAAACTATTAAATTCGTAAACAAATCTGTTCAAAAAATAAATAAAAATAAAACACAAAAAAGAATGAGGATTTTTTTAATTATTTATTTATAAAATTAATTTACATAACACCATTAGTAAAAATATGTAATATAAATTAATAATAAATTTTAAATTTTATTTTAATATTATTTTTTATTTACAGAATTTAAATTTATAAAATAAAATATATAATTTAATATTTTTAAACAAGAAAAAATCTTTATAGAAATGAAAAATAATAAATTTAAACTTAAATTATAATATAATATTTTAAATACATTATATTTGTCATGCACTTCGTATTTATTTAAAAAAAAAAGAAAAAAAGGAAATATTATCCTTATTATAAAATAGGTTTCTAGATTCATCTAGAATTAGAATAATTTGTAGAAAAATAATCTATTCGACAAGTTCTTTCTAAATATTAAATCCTTAAATTATATATGAAAAAATCATTTTTAAATTTAACTTTATAAAAAATATTCTAAAAAATTATATATTTTTAAATTCATTAATCCAACATTTTTTTAGTGTAAATTAATAAGAATATGTTTCTGATCACTAATTCCATGAACTAAGGTATTATTATTTTTTAAAATAAAAACGAAAATATAGGAAAAAATATACCTTTTAAAAAATGAATTAACAAGTTGGTGGTGAAGTAGCTTGAATTTACATGCTAGAGATACAACTCATTGTCATTCTCAATTTTGTGAAATGATTAAAATTTAAATACAAAATTCATTTAAAATACATATGGATTGATTTTTTTTTTTTTAATATGAATTAATTATGTGAGTTTACTCATACCCACCTCTATATGTACTTATTCTTCACCTAACCTATTATTTAATATAGACTAACATGATCCAACTTATGTAGGTTATGATTTTTTTTCTCTTTTCAATTCTAATAATTAGGTATTTTTTTAAAACTATAAAAGAAAAAAACTGAAAATTGTGACTTGATAGCACGAATTATCTAATATTGGTAATTTTGATTTAAAATTGTATTATTTTGATACTTTTATGCATAAACATGTATTGATGAAAAAAATAAAAATTATTGGATTATATATTTTACTTATATCAAAACATGAAAACAAATTTATATTTTAAATTTTAATGTGAAAATTATGTAATTTATCTATGAGAAAAAATTATAATGATTATATAAAAGTTTCATTAAAAGATATTTAATATATTTTTCAAAATTACAATTTTAAAATAAAAAACTAAATATGAATTTAGTTTATCAAATCAAATTCATTAATCAATTAATTAATGTGAAACATGAATTAAAGAAAGAACAAGTTATTTACTGTTGAAATCATTTCGATGTGTTCTATGCAATCTTCTACTTTTTTGTCATTTCTTTGTCCTCGAGTTTGTCAAATGCATGTAAAAAGAAAAAGCTGTTTTTGAACCGCTCGTTCATCCAATTAAGCTTTGAGTGAGTAAATACATCTGTTTTCTTGTTTTTACAAGACTAAGGAAACGTTCAAATAAAAAATTTCTATCCAATAAAAATGCTACACACAAGACCTGTGCATGTAGCTCACTGCACTAGATAAATGAATCCATCCCTCAATTAACCCGACCCATTCGACTTGGCAATTCTTCGGCTCTAATTTCATGTAACAGCGCAGTCACACCTGCATTTTCTTAATTTCCCGATGCATTACACACATTTTCATCTTTCCCCCTCTTTCCCTTTCAGGGTTTGGACTCTGTCCATTGCTTGAATAACGGAAACACGTTTTCTCTCTTTTTAAGTAACTTGTTGTGCAAGTTCCATTGTAGCTTAGCACTTGTTCCAAGCTTCCAGAGAAAATCATCTGACATTGATCCCTTTTCAACATTCTCCTTCACCGCAATCTCCCTAGTGTATGTGAAAATTCTTTCATTTTCTTGCTTCTGTTATTATACTTCTTTTGTCATTTTTATCACTCAAACCCAAAATTGAACTATGATAATGCGCATTAGTAACTGATATATACAAGATTTATAAATTAATAAATAATTTTTTGTTAATTTTAAATCGTTTAGAAAACTTTGAAAAGTTTTGGCACAATGCATGCATTTCAGTAAGTAATTTCACTGCATAACTTAATGGCTAATTAGAATTTTAGGTAACATCCTCTTTAGGGAAGGATAAAGATAGATGTAGTGCAGTGATGAAAACAGTCAAATAACACAGTAGAAATGAGATTTGATTTTTTGGAGGATTATTTTTGGAATCAGAACAAGTGCTGGCTGCAAAACTTATTTTTGGAGATTTGATTTGATTTGATTGGGGTAATTTCTTTTACCCTAAAATTATTTTTTACAAAAGGAAAAAATATAATAAAAACAGTTTAGCGCTTAGTACATATCTGACATAGAGGAGTTCGAATTTTAGAATTTTTTTTTTACTTGTTATACATCAAACTGCTTCTTCTTTCATAGGTTGGATTGAGGACTTTGAATTTTAAAACTTTCTTTCCTTGTTACTGTAATGTAGCATTTTGACATCATTATTACCCTGTTTCAATGCAGAAGCTCATTTTCATTTTTGAGAAAAGAAGTAAAATGATAATCTAGTTGCATGAATGGATTTCTGAAGGTACATACATGCATTACTTTGGAACCTTAAGAAGTTTGGGAGGGTAAATGAAAATTTAGATGAAACTCTTTTAAATTGAGTTTGTCTCTAACGGGGGCATAGGTCATGATGCTTCTTTGAAATTTATTGGGTTAGATGAGAGTTTTGAAATTAAATAAAGAGTGAGTATAGTCTTAACTTGCAATGTAGAGACTCACCTTGGAGGATCTTTTTCAGTTTTCATTCATAGTAAGAACAGTAGAATATTGGACAAAGTTCCAATGGAAACATTTTTAGCAGATTTGTAATGTTTTTAAGATATTTGACTGTTTTATAATGTTATTTGTAAATAACAAAATGTTGCTTATTTCTATTTCCTTGTGTTTATGTTAACACATAAACACAAAGTGTAATCCACTTTGTACCTAATAAGGATGAGAACTCTACTCACAATTCTATGAATATATGACTATCCACAATGAATAAAATAAAACATTCATTCAATAAGATGAGTTCAAAACCAAGAATTTATTAACAAATTTAATTGATTGATGCAATTATATAATACTCAACTTAGTATAGATTATAAATAAAGTAAAAAAAAAAAAAATAGAAATGGTAGGTACCCACTCTTTGTTTCTCTTTCTTTCTAAACAAACAATTCAATCATTGTCAACTTCTCACTTTACTATTTTTTGAAAAACTTCACTTATTCTTGTCTTTTGTTCAACATTAATGTAACTTTAAAACAGAACATTGCATTGTCACAACAATGTAGGAGGTGTTTGAATTACAGTTACATTCAAATGAATCTATGTTGAGCTCAATACTACTTACATTACCTTTTCGTACGAGCATTAGACTACGCAAAACTTTCGTTCAATGTCATTCTAATGAATTGCCAAAACACAGGTAGTCATTCTCCTCACACTCATTGATGGTCTTGTTGGAACAATGTAGCTTAATTTGTATGATGATGTTTTGATTATTTAAGCATAATTTTTTGATATAGAGTTAACATTTTTAGTTAATATTTACTATTGCAGATATAATAAGATGTGGCTAATCAGTGCACATCTGAATATATAGATATTCAACAGGAAGCGTTTGCGAATTGAAGTTGTTATCCACGCAAGTATGTATTAAGGCACGGATTTTTTTATTTTTTTTATTTTTTTTCAATTGCGCGTATGGAAATCCAAGTGCAAATGATATAATAGTTAGATAAATGACAAATTTATTAATTGTTACTAAATTTTAAAAGTATTGGTTCTCTCTTTTAATTGAAGCCCTTACCAAGAATTTTGGTATTCTCTTGCCTTGAAAAAGTGGTGGCCTCCCCTTCTCCTAAAAAAAATCAAGAATTGTGTTTTCTCTTTATTTCTCATATTAATTATTATGCTGTGTTATGTGTAGAAAGTTGCTAAAAGCATTTTCCGTGCATTAAATTTGGACGAAGATCAGACAATTCACTGTAATAAAAACTTAAATTTAGTAATATACATGGAATGTTAAGAAAGATGTCACTCCGGTCTTCCTTTAGTCGCTAATTCTTGATCGTTGATGTTTTCCTCTATTTTTTATGCTTTTACAGAGTTCCCTTCGAGTGCAATGGTTACATTATTTTGCTTTATTCTGTTCTATTATAGCTTTCATGTGTAATGTTCAATGCGTTGAACTTCTTTAAAGTGCTGTACTGTGATCCTATTTTGTTATATGCAGGAAAAAGGGTTTATTGCAGGGGCATCTGAATCTCAGTTTAATTGCGAGTTTTTGGTAAAAGGCCGTTTGGAGGGGCACAAAGTCTTGGCATACAATTGGCTTCTACAGTAGTATTTAATTTCGTGACAAATACTTTTTGGAACCATCATGTCTGCTAATCCCAGAGTCATCAAGGCTTTTAATGCTATGAGGTCCTTAGGAATTTCTATTGAAGAGGTGAAACCGGTGTTGAAAAAGTTGTTAAAATTGTATGATAGGAACTGGGAACTTATTGAAGAAGACAATTATCGTACACTTATAGATGCATACTTTGAGTTAAAGCAAGATAAGGTTTGTCCAAGCATTCTTTTGCTTGTTTATATATTTAAACTTTGAATTAATCAGTTGTCCTTTTAATTGTATGTTTTTTACACGTTGATCTGTTATTTTGTGTGTGTGTGTGTGCTTGACTTCCTATAGGGTATATATGAGAATTTACACTTGAAGTAAGTGTCATTGTTATGTGTTTGTGATTGGTTCATTTCAATCCACATTGATCAGATCCCATTCAATTTTGTTTCTATAAATGTATAGTTTGACGAAACCTTGAAATATTTTTTTTTCTAATAGCAAGCAGAAGTTAAGAGAAAAGCTCCAATCGTTTATCTTGATGAGGGAAGGCCAAAACAGAAACTGCACTTGGTAGGTGGAGATGATCAGATTTCCTCAACTGACATCTCAAAACAAGGGTTGTCTGTAGAAGACGCGGAAATACCTCCCAAGGCTTATAAACAGAAGATCACTAAGCCTTTTCAAACCTCCATTGGGGATATGGAGCCCACAACCAGTTCACAAGCATTACAAACAACGTTGAGTGGGGTAGAAAGAATATCAACTTTACCTGACATGGCTATTAGAGAGAAAAAATTGCATCATGAGACAGCATCAGCTTCCAGGCATCGTGAAGATCCAATAGATGAATCAAGAAATCCTCGTATCCAAAGGAAAAATATGTCAAGTGATAATCATAAGAAGGAGCTGATGACAGCAAGAACTGAGAAACCTAAGTTACATCTTGGACCTGTTTCAACGAGTTACAATGGTAATTAATAAAGCCTTTCTAATTACGGATTCCCCTCCCTCTTTTATTTTGTCTTTGCTTTTACATCAAATGTTATTCACCTTCTTTTAATTTAAGTCCTGAAAAGTCTCCCTACTTCTGTTTTTCCTGTGTATAAAAGGTAAGATCCTGAAAATTATTGATATGTAATATCAATAATTCCTATATATATGAGAAGATTTGTTCCGTTTAAATGTCTGCAAAAAAGGAGATCTATAGACGTCTTTTACAGCATAACTAAATAATATCTACCTTTTTACAATTGCTTCTTTGTTTTCAAGGTATTTGCTCTTCTGCATAGAAAAGCACATGTTGTACCGCTGACTTTGGTTTAGTTTTTTTTCTTTATATATGAAATGTTTCGTGAATTTCTGTCCTATATTCGATAGGCTCACCTGACGCTTCTAGTCGTGCCAAAGCTCTATCAGCTACGTATCAGAATGTGCGCAAGAAATATGGTAGCTCATCAGGCAATAATATCAATATAATTCAGAAAGGTAATATTGACATTGCTTCTTCACTTTCGGGAGAAATTAAAATTTCTTTGAACTGCGATGCTGCTTTGCGACAACCAAACTTTAGTATTCCGAATTTGGACGCTGTTATGAAGTCCGTGGAAGAAAAATACCTTAAGGATTACAAGATAGTAAAGCCTCAATCATCTATGGGGAAGCTATTAGATGATTTATGTGAATATTACTTGAAGCTGGGCTTGAATAATAATTCCTCTCACTTTCTCGATGACATTACAAAAGGTTCTGAGAATGTTAAAATATCATTGTTGGATGAATCTGGAATTGAGGATTTGCCAAAGTTTAATTACATAGCAAATAATGTAATATATCAAGATGCTAACGTAAATATTTCACTTGCTCGTATTGCTGATGAGGGTTGCTGTGCTAACTGTGCTGGCGACTGTCTTTCATTACCGCTTCCCTGTGCATGTTCTCAAGAAACAGGTGGAGAGTTTGCTTACACTCCACAAGGTTTGCTGAGAAATGATTTTTTAACAGCTTGCATATCTATGAAATTGGAACCTCAAGATCATCATTTTGTGTATTGCCAAGAATGCCCACTGGAGAGATCTAAGAATGACATCCTTCCTGAACCATGCAAGGGGCATCTGGTTAGGAAGTTTATCAAGGAATGCTGGAGGAAATGTGGATGTGACATGCAGTGTGGAAATCGGGTAGTGCAACGAGGTTTATGTTGTAAATTGCAGGTAAAATATTATCTGGACAATCTTACAATTTATTCCTTGAGAATTTCATTTTCTTTTACTATTGTGGCTATTATGAGTAGTTATAGTAGTTGAAAATTGCAGTATGTTTGCCAATGGAAGTCGATGTTTTTATTAACCTTTTTTTTTTTTTTTACTAGTACCACCCATTATAGTTGCTATATTTCTTGTATTCTGATATATGACAAGTCTTGTCATTTCAGGTGTTTTTGACTCGTGAAGGAAAGGGATGGGGCGTCAGAACACTAGAAGATTTGCCCAAGGGATGTTTCATATGTGAATATGCTGGGGAGATATTAACCAATACAGAATTATTTGAAAGGATTGTGCAGAATGGCGGCAATGACAGACATACATATCCTGTAACCCTTGATGCAGACTGGGGCTCGGAAGGGGTTTTAAAGGATGAGGAGGCACTATGCTTAGATGCAACATATAATGGAAATGTTGCAAGGTTTATCAACCATAGGTGCTTTTTCAAAATTCAGCAACCATATTATTTATTCCTGATGAAACGAGCCAGCCTAGTTACTATTCCTCTGATATATTGTCAATCACTTACTGCTAAAATTGGGCTCGATTGATAAAATTCGGACCAATTTTTTATCTACCATGAAGAATTTGGAATAGGCTGGTTTATGACATGAAGAAGTTTATCAATAGACATGATTTAATACAAAGTATTTTGGTGGTGCTCTCTACCAACATTGTTGAAATTAGACTAGCCTGATATTTTCTTGATCGGAATCTTTATGCATTAAACTATGTTAATCTTGATCCCTTGGTTATGCAAAAACATAAGAAAGAATTGAAACCCCTCTTTGAATGGCCAAATTGCTACAATTTTTTAACCGTTATTTTATTTTCTGTCATGTATTTGTTTGAAGTTTCAATAAGAACTTGTGTGCATTATTTCTTTCTCTTTTGAATAATGGAGCTACATGTCAGAATCATTTCTATAATTTCAAGCTCAAAGTATTGGAAAACTACATAATTGTTTTTATTTGTTTGTCACTGCTGAATTTTCGTTGTTCCATTTATGTCCATTGTCAAAGGCCATCATAGAACAGCATGTTATTTTTCTTTATTATCGTCCATTTCATATATTGATTTCTTGTATGGTTTGTTTCTTGATTCCAGATGTTTGGACGCAAATCTGATAGACATTCCTGTTGAAGTAGAGACGCCTGATCGTCACTATTATCACGTAAAAATATGTTTAATTTACCTATTGTTGGAAAACTACGGAAATTAATCTTTTGTCATATATTTATTGTTTGTTTCAATCCTTGTTTGCAGCTTGCCCTCTTCACAAACAGAAATGTGAATGCGTACGAGGAATTGACATGGGTATGTCTTGTATATTTTAGGGTTTAAGGATATATAAAAATAAGTTTTGATAATACTTTTTATAAAAGAATCTATAAATCATATTTCTCAAAAAATTAAATTTTTTTTATTCATACTATTATATATCATTCTTTAAGTACTTATGTATTTAGAAATAAATAAATAATTATCTTAAGTAATATTGATTAGCGTTTTTTACACTGTAAACATATAATAATTATTTTATATTTTATTATGGATTAAATTCATAGAAAAATATTTTAAAAATCAAATCAAAATTTGTTCAATTTACAATGATCAGAATAATGAATTTAAATATTAGAGACTGAAAAGAACAAATCAAACACAAACCTTTAAAACATTTGAAACGCACTTATATTTATATTTATTTACAAACATTATTTCTAAATTATTGCTTTTAGTTGGTGATAACTATAATAAAAAAAATAATTTTTTTATTGTGTTTGTGTAACAAAAATGGTTCTCTAGTATTGAGTCCTTCCTGTTCTGCCCATATAAAGTGTATAAAGGGTGATTGACACATGATTATCTTTATTTCAAATAATAGAGCTATTAAAATGGATGTTGTATGATGTGTTAGGAAAAAAATATAAAATAGATTAAGAAAAAAAATCATAATTTAAATTTAAACAAATTATTTTTTGTAATATCTTACTTAAATAGGTTTAGATTTATGCTTTATACACAATTTTAAGATTATAAAACTCTTTACTATTTTTTAGTAAATATTTGTAATATTTTTTATCTTAATTTCAATAGTTTTTTAAAATAAACTATTAATAATTAATTTTCAATTTAAATTGTTCATCGCGAGTCTTATAATTTATACATAAGAAAATCATCTGTGTATAGGTAATGTGATAAAGTTTTTATTCTATTATTGTTGAACCACAGATTAATTAATATGTAGTAAGTTTGCTAAAAGTAATTATTACTCCCTAAAGTCATACTAGAGAACATGGTTGAAATCCCTTGTGAATGAACTTTATACTCTTTTAAAGTTTGTTTGAGTTGTTTGACTTTCCTGAAGACAAACCAGAAATTATTTGCAGGACTATGGTATTGACTTCGATGATCACGAGCATCCCATTAAGGCATTTAAGTGTTATTGTGGAAGTGCCTCATGCCGTGATAATAAAAAAAAGAAGAGGTCAGTAAGATAACTTGGTCTTGGTTGTACAATCTCGTGCGTGTCAGAATTTAACTTTATTCTTTAGGTGCTTTGTGTATTGCATTTTCTTGTTTCTATATATTATGTTTCCTAATGTGGGTGTACCTAAAAGTATGGTTTAACATGCAAAAATGAATGATTAAAATATTCACATGATCTATTATAATTGTTTGATTTAGTTGTAATTCAATTTCAAATATTAATTGCCCCCCTTCCTTCCTTATCAAACTCATGATGAATGAAAATTTGTTGAAGAATGAAAGAGAGTGGACAACAATAACAACAAATAACATTACAATAGCAACAAATAACGTTTCAATAGTATAATTTATAGTAATGTTCAATTTCTTTTATTTAAAAGAGAAAATTATGATTTTTAAGTTATAAAAATAGAGATTTTTTTTCACATCTTTAATATTTCAAAATTAATAAAAAATAAAATAAGACAGTCAAGTCATTACACCCAATATTAGAGTTTTTGAGATAATTTAAAGAAGAGTCTTGTTAATCATATATTTAAGGATTATGAGCGTAAAAAACAAAAGAAACATAAAATACTCTTCAACAAGAATACGAAGAAGATGCAAATGTAAGAATAATCAAGCTCTAATCTCTTAACTGATAATTTTGAGAACGAAAAAATAAAAGAAAAAAAAAGTTTGAATTAATACTCCGATAAATTGTCCAAATTGGTAAATCAAATAAAATCACGTAGAGATACAGTCGATAATTGAAAAGTTGTTGATAAAATTCTTATTAGTTTGATAAAACAATTTAATCTTATGATGATTATCATAAAAGAAACTAAAGATTTGTAAAAAATTATTGTTAAAGAGTTGACAGCTTCTTAGATTTGATGAACAAAGATGATAAAAATATTTCCAAAAACCCCTGTCTTGTATTGAATATGATAGCACAATATATACATGAAATACAGAAACATTCTAGGCTATAATTACGCTAACCATTACAGTCGGTATCCTAAATTTGTCTATTAACGAGATATGACATTAATGTGCATCACTGTGCATCGATTGTCATGCCAAGCTAAATATGGAAAAAATTAATCATGTAGAATCATGGCATGATACTGGTATTTGTAATCGTATATTCTATGTTTATCACCCTTCCTCAAGATGGAGTATGAAGGTTATGAATGCCCAACTTGCCTAAAAAAGAACCAAATTTAGTGGCGCCAAGAGATTTGGTGAAGAGATCAGCCAGATTGATGATGAGTGGACACATAGGAGGGTTGGATATGATTGTGTTGTATTTCATCACGAATAAGATGACAATCCACTTCAATATGTTTTGTCCGTTCATGAAACACAGGATTCTTGGCAATGTGAAGGGCGGCTTGGTTGTCACGAGTAGAGAGTCATAGGGTCGGTGTGAGTAATGCCTAGGCTCGAAAGAAGGCCTTGAAGCCATTTCAACTCACATGTCGTGTTGGCCATAGAACGATATTCCGCCTCGGCGGATGATCGAGAAACCGTATGTTGCTTCTTGGTTTTCCAGGAAACGGGGGATTGACCAAGGAAAATAAAACAACCGGTGAGAGATCTTCGAGTGAGAGGACAACTTGCCCAGTCCGAGTCACACCAACCATAAAGACGAAGGTCACTCTCTCTTTTTAAAAGCACACCCTGACCCGGGCTGCCCTTTAAATAGCATACCACGCGGAGTGCAGCCCGCCAATGCTCCTGACGCGGTTAGTGCATGAATTGAGATAGGACATGAACACCGTAAGATAATTCAGGTCGTGTAAAACACAAGTAAATAAGGCGACCGACGAGACGTCGATATTGACTCGGGTCGAAAGTAGTTCGCCATCGGCCAATGCTAAACGATGATTTTCTTCGATTGGCGTGGACACGGGTTTCCCTCCAAGCAATCCCGCTTCAGCTATGATGTCCAACGCATACTTCGTTGACACAAGAAAATTCCTGTAGGAGATCCGGCAACCTCCACCCCAAGAAAGTATTTTAATTTCCCTAAGTCCTTCATACGAAAACATTGATGAAGATAATCTTTGAATTACGCAATGTCTTCATGATGATTGCCAGCAATGACTAGGTCATCCACGTAAACTAACACAACCAGTTCGACATCTCCTTTGCGAAAGATGAACAAGGAGTGATCGGACGAAGAACGTTGAAACCCATATTGAACAAGAGCAGTTGAGAGCTTGGCAAACCAACACCGAGGAGCTTGACGAAGACCATAAAGGGACTTGCGGAGACGACACACCATACCCTTTTGAGACACCAAGAACCCCGGCGGCATTTTCATGTACACATCTTCCTCAAGATCGCCGTGCGGAAAAGCATTATGGACATCCATTTGATGGAGTTCCCGGTCTTTGGCTACTACCACTCGCCAACACCTGTCCGAATGGTGACCATCTTTGCCACTGGGGCAAAGGTCTCGTCATAGTCAATCCCCTCAACTTGGTGATTTCCCAAGACAACTAATCGGGCTTTGAAGCGTTCAACGCTCCCATCGGAATGATATTTGATTTTATAAATCCACTTGCAACCCGGAGGCTTCTTCCCTGCTAGGTAGAGGAGTAATGTCCCATGTTTCATTACTTTGGAGGGCCCGAATTTCACTAGCCATGGCATCTCTCCATCTAACATCCCGAACAACTTCAAAGAAATGCACGAGTTCTCTCTCCGCATGAAGGGTCGCAAGAAAGGTTCGGTGGGGGAAGGAGAATTTAGCACAATTTAAGTACTTTGTCAAACCGTAAGGCATACCCGAGGAAGCTGAATGTGGAGTGCAAATTGAGGGACCGAGTTGTAAAGTGGTGTTAGTGACATAATCACGAAGCTTCACGAGATGGCTTTCGTACACGAAGACCTTTCCCCGGGGATGCAGGGACGAGTATGCTCCTCGGGAACCTCTAGTTCCGTCATCATAGAGTCGGTTTGTTCCGGTGGGAGAACGATCCGGGTGGGAGGCTCTTGTTCATGGCATTCGGCGTGGCCCTCCCCGAACTCGGTTGTGGGCACATCTTCCGTTGTGGGGTTAACTTCATCAATCTCCACAACGTGTTCTGCATTGTTCATTGAACCAAGTCCAGGCAATGCTTCCTCGACAATGCCAACATCAACAGTAGGCAATCCTACCTCTGAATGTCTACTATGGGCAAGAGAGGCAAACGGGAATTCATGTTCTACAAACTTAACATCTCTCGAAGTCCAGAAGACTTCTCTTTCCAGATCAAACAATTTCTAGCCCTTTTTTTCGATTGAATATCCAACAAATACATTCTTGCGACTTCTACTTGCAAATTTGTCACCTTTCCTATCTTGGTTATGTGCATAACACAAGCATCCAAATACCCGTAGATGGTCATAAGTGGGTGGCTTCCCATTCAATATTTCATATGGAGTTTTTCCATGGAGAACGGTTGAGGGTGTACGATTGATCAAGTATCCTGCGGTCAAAATGCATTCTCCCCAGAATTGAAGTGGAAGTTCTCCCTGAAATCGTAGAGCACGAGCTACATTTAGGATGTGTCGATGTTTTCGTTCGGCTCTCCCATTTTGTTGAGGTGTTCCGAGTGCATGAGGTTTGATGGAGTATCCCATGTTGCTGAAAATATCGTTGAAGACACATAAACTCGGTTTCATTGTCACTTCGTAATATTTTGACTTGTTTCTCGTATTGTCGTTCTATTAAGGCGATGAAATGCATTAAGGTTTGTGACACATCTTTCTTATTATTCAAGAGATATATCCACACGACTCGAGATCGAGTCATCAACCAAAGTGAGGAAGTAAGATGCACCACAAGACGAGGGAGTTCTATATGGACCCCATAAATCACAATGTATTAAATCAAATATATTGGATGCTTGAAAATCACTTAAAGGAAATGTGTTTCTGCATTGCTTTGATCTCTCACACACTTCACACACACGAGTTGTATCCGTATTTCTATTCACGCTGTTCGGATGCAGAATTTTTCTAACAATGCGGTAGGCGAGGATGTCCCATTCGCTTGTGCCAAATCTCTAGTTGATTTTCTCGCATTGGTCCGATACGCCTTTATGCCACTCACACCATGATACCAATAGAGTCCCTCTTTTCGTTCACCCGCTCCAATCGAGCATCCTCGAAGTGTGGTCCTGCATTGCACAAAATCTATCGATAAAATGTACTCGTACATTTTACTTCATTCGTCAATTGTGATACTCGAAATCAAATTGCAATTCAATTTCGGAACATATAGAACATGTTTAAGTTTCGAGTCCTCCATCAAGGAAAACCGATCCTTCTTTGTTTGCCAGCACCAATTCACCATTTGGTAGTCCCATCGGGCACCCTTCCAAGGCTCGACTCTCCCTCAAGTTTTCTAGTGTTCCTGTCATATGATTAGAGGTGCCACTATCAATAATCCACAAGTCACATGCCTTCTTACTAGTCATCTATTCAGTTTCATTTGCCTTGCGAGAATTCAACATTCATTGTCAAGATCTCGTCATTGCTCATTACTCGATCCTGCGACTTCGGTTTTTCGGTTGAATCAACGTTATCCGCACCGAGTGTGCGCCATATTGACGCGAGCCGTTCCTCCTTTTCCTCGGAAGGTTCCTGTTCTTTGTTGATTTTTTTCATCGTTTCTATCGGTTCGTGGTCTCTCTCCCCACCATTCTGGGTAACCAATGATCTTGAAGCAATTGCCTTTGTCATGTCCCTTCCTTCCACACTCGCATGCAAACAACTCGATTTTTCTTTCGCTTCATTGCGCAACTTGTTCCTGGTTTCCGCTCGCATAGCCATTCCCACGATCATTCCTCGCTCTTCTTTAGACCTGGTGATTGTTCTCACCCTTTCTTCTTGCACCATGGTGCCATACACCCGATTCAACGAGGGTAATGGATCTGTTGCCAAAACATTTGACCGTGCGGTTCCATAGCCCTCATCATCTAGCCCCATCAAGAACCGATGAATTTTTTCTTCTCTTCGTTTCTCAAGTTGCGTC